GGATCTGGTGTGCTGGGTACCCTCGAAAAAAGGGAGGAGAAATCCTACCCTCCCCCACACACACACACACACAACCCGAACACGCACACATATGCACAGGGAGAGACTGAGAGAGTCAACTGCTCTCTTTCTCCTTTAGGCAACACCCCTGCTGCAAAGCCAGCTGACAACACACAATAAAAGAAACGGCAGCAGCTGCTTTAAGAACGAGCGGCTGCAGGAATATGCAGATAGACTCCGATCAATGCGCCACATGATGATGCTGATGCTGATGCTGGGGATGACTGAAAACAAAACAGGAAAGCACGCCAAACCGAGGCAGAGCCAGACGGCGCCGGAGGCAAAGCGCCGCATCCTTTGTCTCGATCGCTCCCCGCCACACGACGTGCAAAGACGACGACCCACCCCTCCCGATGCAAAGATAAACCCCCCCACCCGCGATCTTGCAACGGGTTACTTCTCTCCTCCCTCCCCCGTCACCGCCCCGAGACCGTGGCACCCACCATAGCGGAACCTCCGAGGGTTGCAGGATCGCACCTTCCATCGAGACTGCAAGCTGGGCGTGTGAGGATGAGGAGGAGGAGGAGAGGAGGCTGCAAGAGGATATTTTTTTTAAAAAGGCAGGGTGTAGAGAGAGAGGAAAGGTGGCGGTGAAGGAGCCGAAGGATCCAGGGACAGCGAGGGTAAACGAGACCAAGGGAGGAGGAGGAGGAGGAGGCCGCCGCCGCCGCCTCTGGCGTGCCTGAGCGAGCGTGCTGCCGCCGGTGTCGCCGCGCCGCCTGAGCCGCGCTGCTCACCGTCTCCCTCCCCGCCGAGCAGCCATCGCCGGTGCGTCACGTGGCGCCGCTTGTTGCTGGCATGATGGGCCATAGCCATAGCAACAGCTCGGGCGGGAGGAGGAGGAGGAGGAGGATTGCCCGGGAGCGAGCCTGGGCGCGCGGCCGAGGCGGTGGGCGGCCGTGCGGGGAAGGCGAGCGGAAGGAGCGGCAGCGGCTCACGGCTGTCTCCGCGGGAGGCGAACGGGCGCCTTTCTTCTCTTCCCCCCCCGCTTCTGCTGCTCTTAGGGCGGGGGGGGACGTGATGGAATCATACCCACCCCATAACGAGAGGGGGGGTGCATTAGTGACGGTGGGGGTAACAGCGGCCAGGTCTTGGAAGGAAACCGTCCCGCACCCGCGTTTACTTGTGCGCAGGGGGAACGCGGCTCACTATTATCCCGTGGAAGATGTTTTTCCCCCGCCCCATATTAAAAGGTTTAGGATGCAGCACCATCAGCCCTGTTGGGGCTTGGCCTTCGGGGTCAGCACGCAGAGGAGCAGACCATCCGCCTTTTTATGTCATCAGAGCGCGGATGCTGGGTCCCAGGTAGGAGCCTGGAGGATGGGAGAAAGTGCCGCTGCATGCAGCAAGATCTGCCATGGAGTCAACAAGAGCAGGAGGTAAATCCTACTGCAGTTCCAAAAACACTCATGACTTGATCAGCAAATCTCACAACGAAGTTTTTTTATTTCTCTCCCCCCCCTTTCCTTCCACTGGTAGCATCTAGGCTGACAAGAGTTCTGGAGGACTCCAAAGCTTGCACATTATTTTAGCGGGCTCTAATAAAGGTATTGCTTATCTGTATTTTTGTTGTTGTTGTTGTTTTAACTTTCAGCCTCAGGGTTCTGAACTCATTGCAACCACCCCATGAAACAGAAAAAGGCAGGGTGAGATGGAGATCAGCACAGGACCCAAACTTCCAGATGCCATGGAGTCATTTAGGCAAGCCTGCCTCTAAACAAAATCAAGGCTGGGTAGTTAATCATCTAGGCATATATATCCACAAAAATGGACCATATAGAAAAAAAGATCCCCAGAAGCTCCTAAGACAACACTAACATTAAACAGAGAACCTACTGATTCTATTGTACACTCAAATGACAGTAGGTTATGGCATTCAACAGTCTTGAATACAGGAGGAGTTTGTATGTGTTGATTTTACACTGCAGTAGTGCTAAAAGAGAAGTGAGGTTTGGTAGCCCATCTAGGCTTGTCAATAAGACTGCTGAGATTTATGTATGTAACAACACAGTGTGACAGAAGGCAATGCAACTCCATTTGGGAAAGGGTGGGTAGCTGGATATAACAAGGCCATGAGGTCTAGTCCTTGCTGAAGGTGTTGGAGGGCAGGGGCCAAGCTTGAATCTCCAAAATCACATAAGGAAAGAGAATCCTGCATAACAGGTAAAGCAACTTCGCCCCAGCAATGGCTGCTTGGAATAGGGACTAAGAATATCCCAGCATTACACAGGATGGAGAAGCCAGACCAAATTCTAGCTTACACTGAAATTAACCCTGGATAGCTGTAGTGATGAGCATAGTCTGGACACCACCATATTCTTGTCTAGTATTTACAACTGTCAGCCTAGAAGTGAAAGGCACAGCGTGGTTTTGTAGGCTCCTAGTTGCCTTTTCTTTTTTGGTGTTTGGGTTTATATCAGTCCAATGAGCCATGAAGTCCTCCTTCCATATTGCTGAAGCAGAAAAATCCAACAGCCTCTTGGGTGGGAATGAGCATTTTGTAAGCAGGCATCTTTGGTTCAATAATTTATTTCCACTGATACAAGAGTGAACTGGAAGTACACAACATCTTATACAATAAAGAAACACTGCAAGAGGCAGGAAGGAGTACAAACCCTGGACCCCGACACAAGCATGTTCCCATGGCACAGGTTTTATTGCATTGAGTAGAGGAATGGCATCAGTTCCAACAGCAGCTTGAGAGGGACTAAGAGGAGAGGATGGATAGAACAGCAGCATGGGTTCGGCCCAGTGTGGCAAATCGGATGGCTTTATCAAACACAGCCGTGGCTGGAGCCTGTGCAAGGCCTCTTCTCCTTATCAGGGGAACAGCTACCATGGCATGCTGTGGACCACGTCCGTGAGAGAGGCTGACCTGTGAGGACGCAGTGCCGTGTATACAGTAGGGGAGTGAGTGAACTCGGAGGAAGAGCCCTGTTCTGCTGAATTTGGGGACAAATATCCTCATTAAGACCCCTCAGAGCTCCATAATGTTGTCAAGAGTCTCTTGAAACAGCTGCTGGCAGAGGCTGACTGTTCCCACACGGGTTAGTTTGAGATACATGTACACATGTACGGCAGGAAAGATCTTGAGTCCCTTTCAGAGGAGAATGGATGACCAGCAAAAACATACAGACTGACACTCAGGGCTTCAGAGAACATCCACCATGGCTTTTCCCATCCTCATGCCTCACCAAGGTGGGCTTTAGAAAAACTCCCCTCTAATCCTCTTTTGCCCTGAGATACAGGGCAGAGCTTTCAACCTTAGTTTGACTGCAGTTTTGGAATGGGAGAGACGGATAGCCAGGGCCTATCACAGTTCATATGATGGAATGACACAACTTTGTTACAGAGTATAGCCACCTAATCTTGCCAAGTACCCACTAGGTTGAGAGAAAAGGTTGGCAACATTACACAGATACCAGAAGAATCTCTCTTTTTTCACAATAGAGGAATCAATTTTTCTCTCACTAAGTCAAATGCTATGTCAGAGGCTCAGGGGAAGTGCCCCACATGGTCCAATCCTAAATCCCTACCACCACCCTCCAGGTAGCTCCCACCCATGGTGCAAGTCCACATTCACTGTCTGAGGGATGGAGGAAAAGCATCACCAAAGTGGTGAAATCACTGGGTCCTAGCAGAAGTGCTACAGTTGGGAGCACAACAGAGGCAATGAAGTTTGAAGAGGCTACCGTGCCAGAGAGAAAAAGAGCCCAAGGGAACTGGAGTGCATCTTAGGGTGTTCATAAGCAACATAGTCTGTACTTGCTAGGAAGGACCAAAACCTCTCCCAGGAGGTAGGATACAGTGCAATCGTTCAGGAAGGATGAGAAGCAGGGGTGAGGAAGAGGTAAAGATTTAGCATAAGAGGTTTGAAACAAGGAGGCAGTACTGCTGGGTAGCAAAGGGTTAACTATATCAGTCACTCTCAAAGGAAACTGATTGTATTAAATAGGAAAGATTCCATTCAACCTCCTCCTTCCAAGGCACAAGACTAAATTCTTATTGCATATTATTATGTCTCAGGATAATAATAAAAAAAACCATTTAACCAAGATTGGCTCTCACCCTAACCAGAGTCACCATCTGGTGTACCACTGGTATGGTTTAAGGGATAGAGGTGGTTGGCATTGGGATACATATTGCAAGCCGGGCTTCATTCTACTGCTCTCTCTGGGGAGCCAGAGAGGCTGCCTCCAAGGGCAGTTCCTGAACAGCTTCTTTGGTATTCTGGGCCGTGATTCATCCCGACAGAAGATCAAAGTTAAGGCACTTGATTCCACAGTCATCTCTTGGACCACTCATTATGGGGCTCACATGAAGTTCACCCAACTCTTCTACTGACTCAAGACAGCAAGGGCGGGGAGAGAAGGAATCATCTCTCCTACTGAAAATTGGGTAAGGGGAAAATACAAGGGGACAGGAAAGCCTTTGATCTGATTCTTTGGCCCAACAAGACGATAACTGCACAACTGCTAAGCAAATATATTAGTGACAAAGTCCAGAAAGCGCTTGGCATATTGTTCTGGATGCACTGTGGAGATCTCAGCACCCGCCTGTAAGGAAGACAAAAGAGTCAGCAAGAACCACATCATCCCCCTCTTTCTTCCCAGTCCTTGTTTAAGATGGGGTGAGCTGCTTGTGGCCCTCCAGATGTGTCTAGATTGCAACTCCCTTCAGCCCTAGCCAGCGTAGCCTATGTAGGAGGGATGATCAGAGATATGGATCATCCGGAGGAGTGACCAATGCCCACCATGATGTAGAGAAATCATCTGTGGATCCTGGGAAGACAGCCAGCGTCTGATCCCTGGTCTGCAAATGATCTCAACTGACCACTTACCTCTGACAGGCATGCACTGTTCTACTTAAACTATGTCTGTCTCACAACTTTCTGACACAATACAGCCCTTGTTCTCTGCCCTGCATTCACTGTATATGTTGTCCCGCTAGCTGAAGAACACAGGAGGATTAACCCACTGGTGCAATGAAAATGATTGCAATGGTTCATTTAAAAAGTACCAGCAGGCTTTTGTCTTCTGCAGCTTCTCCACCTCTGCCCCACCCCTTTTGGTGTCCATTATGGCTACAATTATTGCCACACTATGTAATACACCAGAAGTCCTGGATATCCTTGTGTATCTGTTACCTTCCAAGTGTTACCATTACAGTACTTGATTTAGCAAGCCAAGTAAAAAAAAAGAAGTCTAGAGTTATCTCTGCTGCCTAATTTGCAACAGTAAGCAACTCACTACATCAAGGACAGGGAACATATGGCCCTCCAGATGTCTTTAGACACCAGGTCTCATCATCCCTAATCACTGATGGCCTTGACAAGGGCTGATGGGTGCTGTAGTGCAACAACATCTGGAGGGCAATACATTCCCACCCCTTGTTTTACATGCTTTGTGTCTGCTTGTCTCTGAAGATTACAACAGGATTTACAGTCTTCCTGCCCAATGATGACGTTGAAAGCCGTATGCAGGCAAACCGAAGCAATTTCTATCTGCAGGATAGGCCACAGTTATTCTTTTTTTAATCAAGTCAGATAGGCAAGACCACCCTTGTATTGCCCACTCAAGGACCAATCACTTGTCAACTAGGTATGCAACATTTGTGTTTTTTAGACTACAGCTTTTAAAAGTCTTCAGGAATTCCCACCAGCCAGAATTCTGGGGGCTTTAAGAAAAACAAACAAACAAAACCACCACATCCAATATATATCAGGCAATTTGCTATGCTTAACCTAAGGAATAAGGGCTCTATCAGACATGATCAATCTTCATAAGAGGCTGGGTGGAGCTAAACTCTTTAGGAACTGCAAGGCAATAGGGATTAGGCACTTTCCTCAGAGGCACCCTGTATGGAGTATAATAGGCAGCACCCTAATGCCTTGCAGCTCCTCTAGAGTTTAGCCCTGCCCAGCCACTTCCCCAACTTCATGAAGATGTAGTCCAAAAAACACAAAGCCCCATGCCTGGTACCAACTGCTGTTCATGGCATTTCCTGAACCGTGTACATGCACAATAAAAAGAGATGGGGCAGCCAAAGCTAAACAATGACAGCCACCATCAGCTGGAGAAAAGAAGCACAGAAGCACTGGGGGTGGACAGAGGAGGCCAGAGGCTAGCTGCAGGCTTTATGATGAAGAAGAACACTCCATTCCTAAAGAAGAGGGTGGAAAAACTTACCCCATGCTTGACAGTCTTGGCTGCATGGGCAGCCTTCTTCTTGGCATCGTATTGTGTGAGGATGTCAATGAGACCCATGAAGTAAACCTCCTTCTGGGGACTATCTGGAAAAACGAAACAAGACAATGAGAGACAGGAGTGATGGTATTTTCCACATATAGACACAGAAGTCATTTCCATAGGAAGTTCCACCAAGACAAACCTTCCTCGTATTCCAGAATCTAAGGACTATAAAGCAAGACATAAGCATGCTAATCACAACCATGTTCTCTTACACTGAACATGAAGCCACACCATCTAGGATACATGGGAAGGAGTGAAAAGCATGGCCATACCAGAGTAGCCTGAACAAAGGGCAGGATGCTAATGAATGTGAACCAAGTGCCATGTCAGAAGAATCCCCATTCCATCTTGCCCAGGAATACTAGCTGACCAAATAGGGTCGAGAGATGAGGAGAGGGGAAAAGAAGACAATTCCTTCTTCACTGACAAGCACATTAAAAATAAAGCTTGAGTGATAAATGTGTGCAATCATATTCTGCATGTATATACTGAAAGCAGCCTGCATTTTAGAAAGGAACACACCAGAAGCAGCATACTGTATAGATAATACTGCAGTGGTAAGCGGCAAGCAGAACTGCTGTCAAACTCAAGTGCTCTCTAGAAGCTAGTGCCCAGCTCTGACAGAAATAAAGTCAGGGCTACTATATACGTATATTACAGACCACCCTCCAATAGCCCAAGTTTTACACCAAGACTGTCTGAATTCTGCAACCAGAACTCTGCAGTAGAACAGATTCACGTATTTGCTTCCCTCTTTTTCAGTGGCTTTTAAAAACCTAGGTTGAAGAGAAAGGATCAAAGGAAGAAAATGACAATGATTTGATTCAAGGGTTAGGTTAGTGAAGCCATCCAGGAGTTATCCTGAGGGCTTAGTCTGTAGCAGTTAGACAGCTATGAGGCGCTCTTCAGGATCACAGCAGAACTAGCATGTGTGTCTAAGTAAAAGGCCGAGGGACATCTGGCCTTCCACATGTTGTTTGTGTGCAACCTCCCACTAGCCCTTGCCAGCTGAAGCCATTGCAGTCCAACAACCAGAGGAAGGGCCATGTTTTCAACGGCTCAGGTCTACTACTAATGCAAGACCAAAATTACAATCATATACAGATGCCCTGCTTAAACTTGCTTACCACTGCAGATTCCCACACACAACAGATCACTTAATCATCTTCTTCTTTTAAAGGTTGTTGAATTCCGTGCCAGAGGCTAAACAGCCAAAGGGCCCTGCATTCTCACTAATGCCAACCTTGCCTCTGAAGTTTTATTTCATGCACAATCTATGATAGGCTGCTGTCTGGTAGTTTGGAATATTTGCCACAAAGGCTTCCCAGCCCTTGGTCTACTTCCCCATTGGCTCTAGTCCATGGAAGGCTACGCCATAATAAATATAACATTAGTTCTGAAGGTGCCACAAGACTCCTCCCTTGTTCCAACTTACTTTCAGCACTCTTGATGGCATAGACGTCGATGTAAGGGTCGAAGTCACCAGGCCCCAGAGGCTTATGGGAGTTGAGATAGCTACCGATGCCCTCAGGAGAGGTGCCATAGGAACCGACTGACGGCGCAGGCTCACCGTCTCCCTCTTCCTCTTCCACTTCCTCCTCATCTTCTTGCTCAGCTCGCTGCACATCATGGATCCCTAGCAGCAGGCTGTAGCCCATAATCTTTAGTTGCACTAGGAACTGAGCATATGGGCACAATTACCAGTTGGTGGGGATTTCCTCCTCAGGAATTTGCTTTCTACTTATTTGTTACAAAGAGGTTCCCCAACAAACCTTCCAGATTGTTTCACCACTACCACCACCACCACCACCACTCGTTTACATCAGACCTCTTCATCAATCTGTATATCCCTGCACAAACAGCACACCCTCTTCTGCCTCTAGGTCTTTTGCACTGAGCTTTAGGTAAAGGTAAAGGCTCCCCTTGACAAATTGTCCAGTCATGTCCGACTCTAGGGCGCAGTGCTCATCCCCGTCTCCAAGCCATAGAGCCAGTGTTTGTCCATAGACAGTTTCTGTGGTCACATGGCCAGCATGACTAGACATGGAATGCCGTTACCTTCCCACAGTGGTGGTACCTATTTATCTATTCGGATTTTTACATGCTTTTGAACTGCTAGGCTGGCAGGAGCTGGGGCAAGCGACAGGAGTTCACTCCGTCGTGTGGACTCAAACTGCTGATCTTACAACCTTGCAACCATGAGGCTTTTTTGCACTGAGCTTTACTTTAGAACATTTAGAATGTTCAACATGGCAACCATAGCAGCTTACCTAATTGCTGCAGGGGGAAGGGCTCATTTTCAACAATATAGCATCTTCTGACCATCAGTCTTCTGTGTGATCATAATAGTTCTAACCAATAGCCAGAAGGAGATCCCATTTAGGAAGGTGTCAAGGACTGGAACCAAGACTTGGTCCTAGTTAAAGCAGTTCTACTGAATCTACTAAATTCAATGTCTTATGACTAATGTAAGTCCCATTGATTTAAATGGCTCCATGTCTAGTCACGCTGGCCATGTGACCACAGAGGACTGTCTGCGGACAAACACTAGCTCTATGGGTTGGAAATGGGGATGAGCACCGCCACCTAGAGTCAGACACGGAGTGGACAAAATTGTCAAGGAGAACCTTTACCTTTACCTAATCTAGATAGAACTACATTGGAATGCAGTTCAAAGCCATCCTGTGTCTTTATCAAATCCACTGCTTTTGAAACACAGTGAAATGCAATGGAAGGGGGGGGGAGAGGAAACACCAGGACCTGAATGTTCTGTGCTTCAATTCAACACATTCATATCTATGTGATCATAGAAAATAGTCTAAAATAGCACACATGGAGAACCATCGCCTTTGGAAACACATACAGAGTTTTAACAGCATGCTTCATAAGAAGGGCCAACAAGAGACCTTTGGGTAGTGTGGGCGGCATATAAATTAAATAAATAAATAAATAAATAAGAAAGTCTCAAAATCATGCCTTTTACTCCTGGATAGCTGGGGGCCACTAATTATTTTAGTCATGATAAGTTATATTACTCCTCTTTCAGAGAATCCAAAAGGGTTCTGGCTTTGTGAGTGCTGGCCCAAGAAAGCCTTCTTGATATCAGTATTTCAGTTGATAATGAAAATAAATTTAGGGATATGTCAACTTTTTAAAAATGCAGTGATAGGGAATGTGCAACCCTCTAGATTCTTGGATTGCCTCTTCCTACATTTGTTTCTATTTTACTCTGCTGAAAAAGGCTGACAAAGGTTACAGTTTAACAACATCTGTAGGATCACATGTTTTCCACCCCTGGTTTGGACCAGGTGAGCTTCATGGCTAAGCAGGAATCTGAACTGAGACCAACTTGCATCTAAAGACACCACCTGCTCTAAGACATTTCCTCCCCTACTCCAAGGATCACATTTACACTTTCTCTGCCCAGTCTTGCACAAATTCAGTCTCCATTCTGGAGCTAATTAAATTTAACACTCTACTCTAGATTATGAAACAGTTCTATTCCAGACATTGCAGAAAACAAAGCAGTAGATTTAAGTGGTTGATAAACAGAATGCAACACTTAAGGCTGCAGGTGACAGGTGCGTATCTATCAAAAAGGAAAATGTTGAGCACAGCCGTTCTTCTGATGCACCCATTTACTATGTTAAGAAGATAGGGGCGGTGGTGGAATTAAACACAAGGGCAAATTCAAAACTGTTGCACTAACATTTCCTTCAATGTGAAGTGGTACAATTCAAAATTCACCCACTTCATTCTGCATAACATCCAGGTCAGTGCTGAAATATATGGACCCTAGTTCTCTACCTTGTCTTGAGCCCCTTTTATTACTTCAAAACATCTTGATCTCTACAGCCTTTAGGTTAGAAATACAAACTCCACAAGATACATTCACCAACAAACAGAAAAGTTATCTACTTATTCATCTGGTGGCTTAAGGACCTGATGTAGACTAGATAACCAATTAGCAAACAATGATCCCTCTGCTCTCAGCTTCCTGCCCCCTGCAGCTAGTGAAGTCATGCTAAGGGTTAACTAAACAGCATCAAATTATCTGCTGTGTGGAAATTCATCCAGCGATTGTGACAGCAAGAACCAGAGGGCAGTATTTACCCTGGATGCATCAAGAATGAATAAAGGCAGATGAAATGTTGTAATCTGAAGGTGGCATGCGCTGGGCAATGAAGGAGGAGAGAACCACCCCTGCGTTGGCAGCTTGTCCCTATGATTAATTGCCTCGACTGTTCAAAGCTGTGTACCTAATTTCTAACTGGAATACACCCAGATTTAACTCCCAGACTTGGGTCCTTGTTGTGATTCCACCTGTTTGACAGGAGGACCTTTTGGAACCAAAGATTTTCTTTCCCTTGTGGTGAAGTCCACCGCAACCTCTCCAGCATCACAGACGGAGTCTGTGAGCATCAGCAGTTACTAAACTTATTCAAAAGCAACAAGAGTGACATCAAGGAGAAGCACCAGAAACCACGCTAAAAACAGATGAGGGGCTTATATATATCTAGCCAGTTTTGCTTTACAATTCAAGGTGTCAGTGACCTGAAAAGCTGTTTCTCTTTTACAAAGGTCCAAGACACTCTCTCATTCTTACTCTCCTCAAAGACAAACCAAGAAATGTTTCTGTTATGTGTTATCAAATCACTTCTGACTTATGGTCACCCTAAAAGGGTTTTCAAGATGTTCTGGGAATAATTTCCCATTGCCATCACCACATGCAGTGAGTTTCCATGGCTGACCAGGATGTGAACCCAAGTTTCCTGGCGCCTAGTCTGGCATTCCATCTACTACACCAGTGGTTCTCAAACTGGGGTGCCCAGATGTTCTTCGACTGCAGCTCCCAGAAATCCTGGCCATCACAGCAAGTGGTGAAGGCCTTCAAGAATTGCAGTCCAAGAACATCTAGGGATCCCATTTTGAGAACTCCTGCACTACATTAAACAGGCTCTTGGCCATTCCCATACTCTCTGGGCATTGGACATGTTAGCTATGGCTCTAGCCTGAAATATAAAGAAGGTGCCAGGGCAGTGAAACGCGAGTTAAACCAGGGCAGGAAAAGGGCCAGCTCTCCGCAGAGAAGTATTTACAGGTACTAATAAACAGTACTTTATATTTACATAGTGCTTTCTAAAGTGTTCAAAATACTCTAAATCATTATTTTAAAAAATCATGGGAGCTCTGCTGTGTGTCATGTAATATTATACCTAAGAGACAGGTGTGGACTAAAGAACTGAGAAATACCACCTCATAGATCTGTCGTAAGGATAAAATGTCAAAAAGTTATGTCTTTCTGGGTAGGAAAGACAAGATGTACATTTTCCAGCAGAATAGCAATACTGTGGAACTCCTTGATTGCATGTTAACAGAATAAAAGTCCACTCCATTCTTTACTTTCTTTTCATTCATCACAAAAGGAAAATGTATCAGTCTTTATTGATATAACTTAAAAAACCAGGCAAAGTAAAATATTACTTATATTTTACATTGCCCATTGCAGTCCATGGATTGTGCCAGTAGCTCTCTAGTGCAAGCATGGAAACCAGTATAGGGTACTGTCCAGGGATGGAGACTTGAGTTGCAGGACTTGCTGTCAAGTCAGACTTAAATTGCATCAGTGACTCGACTCGGACTTGACTTAGGGTTCCCCCCCCCCAAAGGCTCAGGCTCAACTCATGAGACTTGGAACCCACCCACCCCTCCTTCCTTTCTGGAGAAAAAAAGCTTGTTTTTAATAGGGATTTGGACTCAGTATCAAAGACTCGAACTCGGAACTTGATACCAAAGACTTGGGGCTCAGACCCAAAAACTTGCCAATATCCCTGGTGTTGTCATTAAAAAAAACCCCGCTAGCTTTGAGAAAATTTGAGTTGAGTTCAAAGGCCTACTTGGTCTTAAAGCTCAATAGGTGAATCAGATTCAGTCATGTTCAAACCAACATACAAGACCAGAGGCTTTTTTAAAAAGGGGGAAAGGGAAGAACCATGATCCGCACTTTCAGTTCCCTGAAGAAAGAAGCAAGAGATAAACAAATGAAATCAATAAATAATGAGCAGGCCATTAAAAAAGTAGGCCACCTGCTACCAGCCTAAACGTCAGCAGGAAGATCAGCCTGGATGGATGAAATAATGTGTGAATTGGACCGCTGCTCACAGACCTCTGCCAGCCTCCTCTTCAGAAAGCAGAGGAAGATTCTGGGATAGCTTTACCTTGCGTGAGAATTATGAAGATTAAAAAGTGGCAGAGGGAGAGTGGGGGAGGCGGAGATGCACTGAACAGAAGCAAGGAGCGTCGTCGTTCCTTCAGCCCTGAAAGAAAAGTCTCCCTCAGCGGTTCCATTCCTAAGAACAACACCAGAGCAGCTACGTTTGCAGACAGTGAAAGGAAAGGAAGAGCTGAGAAGAATTTCAGGCCAAGTTTTCTTTGGGGCTGTCAGCTTTCTATCTTCAAGAGCTGCAGGTTCTGTGAAACTGGAAGCCCCATTTTCTATCATTTCTCCTGGTTTGGAATTGCAACAAAGAGTAAGATCTGCACACAACACACGCTTGTAAGATCACGCTGGAATCTTTGGGAAGAGATTCAGCTGATGAAAGCGAAAGGCTGCCTGGTTTATTGGGTTAGCAATTAAGATTGTGAGCATCTGCAGTCACCACCCCCCCCACCATCACATGCTATTAACAGTCATTAAGGCTAATAGGACGAATCCTGCACTGCAGAAACATTTTCAATTCTGCAGACTCAGTCCCTAAGGAAATGCAATAGCTGATGAGATACTGGCTGTGAGCATTTTTCTAGGTTTGGAAGCTAACTTCTATTCTTGTCTCAATACAGCAGATGGGGTGGGGTGCGATCTGCAATCCAAAAAAACCACAAAAGTCTTTGGGCAAGTCAGGCATCTAGGTTTTGTCATTAAAGTTTCAACCACTCAAAGCTATGAATATGAAAGCTATACAGCTATGATTGCAGCCTTGGCTGCATGAAAAGAAAAGAAAAAGGTAGAAGTCCAAAAATATAAATCCTGATTTAATCTTAGGTTTCACTTCTCCCACCCACCTTGTTCCTTGGATGGACCATCAACTCTTTTTACTATTTGAAGAACTATCTGAACACTTGGGCAATCAGAAGTTCACTTGGTGCCTTAGGACTTGCTGTCTCTATAAAAACAACGAGTGTGTATGTGTCTGAGTGTGTCTGGTTGCTGTTGTTGTTGTTTTTTTAACTGGAAAAGCTCCTGCAGTGCGAGGGTAGGATGTGGACTTGGAACAACGCAGATGCCAGGCAAAAAGCACGGTGCCTCTTGAACTGGAAAAGCTCCTGCAGTGAGAGGGTGGGATGTGGACTTGGAACAATGCAGATGCCAGGCAAAAAGCACGGTGCCTCGCTGGCTCCTGCTGCAGACAGAGTTCCTCAAAGCTCACTCTTAGATTTAAAAAAAAACTGCACCCAATCTCTCCAGGTATGTTTCTACACACACACACACTTTAAGAGGACCTCGGGGATCACAGTACAATATCTACAAGGATCTCCCCCACCCCACTTTTCACCGGCTGGAAGATTCAGATGGCAGTGGGCAAAGTTCTCCCTCCCACCTCCAGAAAAAGCCCAACACAGATGACTAACTAGAGTCTTTTCTTCTCTGCAAATGCTGCAGGTAAAAGCCTGCTGCATCAGTCCAGAAGCATCTTGGAAACAATTCCCCGTTTTGTTTCCATGTGTGGTTTGCTTCCAGAATCCTGGGAGCTTTGGGAGATAAACACAGTACGAGCCACAGAACATTCTTAACCTTCCCCTAACCTTCTGGATTTACATTATGTTACATGTCATCAAGTTGGAACCGATTTACAACAACCCTAATAGGGCTTTCAAGGTAAGTGAGATGTTCAAAGAGTGGTTTTACCAATTCTACTCTACCCCTCCCCACCTCGGTGAATTTTTATGGCTGAGTAGGGATTTTAACCCAGATCTCCTTAGTCTGTCACTCTGAACACTACACTATAGATTGCTCCCTGACAAACAAAATACTGGCACTCTTGGAACTACAAGCTGCTTGCAGATTCAGAGGGATAGTTTGGGCAGAGTAACCTGCCCCTCCACCTTTATTATCCGGCCCTTGCAGTGCAAAAATGCTTTCAGATGGCTCAGATCTGGTTAGGAGTTCAGGGAAACCAACCCCATGCAGGAGCAGGGGGTCTTGAGTCCCTACCCCACCCCAACGACCAGAGCTGCTACTGTCACACTGCCTTTAAGCCTTCAACACAGAATCTGAGAGTGACTTTCCTATGCCCACTCTCCATCCTCCTCCCAAGCCACAAACTGGGACTCAAAGTGGAATCAAGTTAAAGTTTAGCAGTTAATTTGCCTGGTGATAATTGCAGAGCCTATGATTTCCTCCTGCTGAAGCAGGTTTCCCGCTAATGGTGAGATGACCACCGGGGGGCCTTCTGACTTACAACTCCAAAAAAAGCCAGTTTATCAACCACAAGCGGCAACAAATACTGCAATTACCCAACCCCGTACCCTGGGGGCTCCAGGGACAAGGAGATGGTTGTCTCAAGAGCCAAACCGCGGTGAAAGATGGACAGGGGCAGAAAGATAAAACAGAAAATGAAAGGTAGGAGGACCCAGCGTAATAGAAGGGGAAGCTGCAAGGGCTAAGCTGTCCAAGGGAAAGATCTCGGCTTTAGCAGGTGATCTGAGAGGTACCGCAGCACGACTACCCCTTTCCTATGCCATGGAGGTAAAAAGGCATGCTCATGCTGTGGGTCTCCTCCACTACAATGCTAGCTAGCCCACTTTCCAAAAGAAGCAATGTGGGAAGGCTCTCTCCCTGCATCTCATGATTGTTGTAGTTATGTGCCATCAAGTTGCCTTTGACTCATGGTGACCCTATGAATGAGCCATCTCGAAAATGCCCTGTCCTGAGTCTTAGGGTTCCCCTCCTTTCACCCCAAAAGCTCAGAAATAAGGAACACCGCAAGTGCTGCCACACAACCAGCACAACCTAAGAAAGTTGAGACTATTCAGAAGAGCGTATTCAGAAGAATGATCCTTTCACTCAGAAGCCCATCACTAGACGGATCTCTTTGACTGGTGTTGCTATGCTACCATTCCACCTAGGCCCAGACAGCCGCAGTACCTCCACGTCACGCTTGAGCTTCTCCATGAAGTCTCTTTGGGCCTCTTCGCTGATGTACACCTTCTGGTTCATGTTCAGAAAGTCGATGTCTTTCAGAGTTGGCAGTTCCTTGCCCTGCAAGCAAATGAGTGCATATTGTGCGTGACAGGGAGGCACAAGGGAAGAGACCAAGTCAGGCAAACGCTTGGTAGAGCCAGAGGCTCCAACCAAGGAGTGGCAGAACAGGGCCTAAGCCGGGTTCCACGCCATGAGTGTATCCATTTTTAATGTTGTTTTTATCTTTTTGCAAGCTGTCAAGAGAATACATAAGCTACCTGGAGAATGCAGCAATAGGGTGGGCATATAAATATTTTAAATATAAAAACAAACAACTCCTGTTCTGTTCTCCTTGGGCGTGGCGTTAAAGAGAGGAGGGAGCAGTAAGGAAACAACACACACTTTTGCTTGTGAACTACTGCCCTACAGAGAACATCTCCAAAGTAAAGCAGTTCTTGACCCCTTTTTGAGGAGGGCGGGTCGGGTCTCAAAAGATCCTCAGAAAGTCAAATTCTGTCTAGTGCCACATTAAGGGTAGAGTGGGAAGCTCTCATGGAATTGCCGTGCAGAGGCATACTTTCCATACTAAGTCACAATCCTTTACTAGAGGTCAGGAAAGTTCCTTTCTTGAACTACAGCTCTCTGAATCCCGCACAGCCACCCTTAGCCAGCAATAGGGTAAGGGATTGTGCAAACTGGAGTCTGAGAAAAGAGAGTTAGGAGCAACATAGGAATCTGCCTTATACCAGCTAGTCTACTGGCTACCCAGCCAGTAGCGCGTACTCTGGCTGACAGAGGCTCTCTTGAGTCACAGACTAAGTATCTTTCCCATCCTGTTAGCTGATTTTTCAAGCCAGGGACTGAACATAGGTCCATGTGCACCAAAATCTTGTGCGCTACCACTATCCTTGTGCCCCCCCCCCCCGTCTCCATTCTGACTTCCTATAATTTCAGTATGGATGCAAAACATTAGACTTGTAATCTTGTTTCTGAAAACCAAACTCTGGAATGCCTGCATTTGCTTGCATTTTAAGCTTCCACGTTTCCCTGCTATAGGAGCTGAGACCTGCCCTGTTCAGCTTTGCATTGTGCCACATACGTAAGGAGTGCAGGGCCAATGCACAGATGTCCTCAAGAAAAAAAAAACTCAGATAAAAAAAGAAATATATTCTTAGACCTTGCCAAGGAACTTGTCTGCATCTTCAGTTGACAAGAGGAAGCTATATGATCGCCCTGGGTTAAGCCATCAAGTACAAAGCGGCTCCACCTCCCATCCACATAAAGTACAACACCTGTCACCAGGCAGGCGTGACCTTCACTGACCTTCTCTTTATCACTGGCTTCTCGGGACACCAGGGAGCCCTAGAAAGGCAGAAGCACAAAGATTAGATTCCAAGTAGGCACTGAGGTCACAAACAGAACCAGAAGGTATTTCCAGGACAAGCCTCGCAACAATATGTTCACATAAGCCTTGAGATTACCCAAAGTGGGAAAGGGAGTAGTATATAGGATCATACGTTGAGAAATCTCAACTCAAAAGTCAGTAGTGTCTGTGAAAGTACCGCTGTGTCAAACACTATCTGGGATTTTTTAAAATATAAAAATAGGTCTTGCAGTACAACCGTATCCTGATCAGAGAAGAGACAAAATCAGTGATGCTTCCATCTGCGTGCCTGCCTCCTGCCTCTAGGGTTCCATCCAAAGGGCCAACAATGTTTTCTACCTTCTCCTGACCAGAAAGGGCACCTGCCCATATTTACATGGATCTGGGGATCCCCTTTTTTCTAGACAGGGTGAAGGCACCATCTGAAATGGAACAGCTACAACCTAAGCATCAGTGCTGGCATGCTGCCTAACACCTTTCCTGTGCTAATTACAGCCTTTATTCATTCTAACCATTTGTGGCAAGCAATTATTTTTTTCCCCAATTTCAGAAGGAGAGAGGAGGCTGAGAAAGCGTGACTTGCACAAGGCTATCAAAGGAGGGCTTGATGCAGCTGAAATATGAACCTAGGTCTCACCCCCCCTCAAAAACATTTTGGTTGCATAATAGCCTATTATTCCCCCCTCCCCCGTCTTTCTGAAGAGGACAGTCAGTGCTGTTCTCTGGCAGTGTTCAAAATGAAGCTGTTGTACCACAGTGCCTTCCTTCCCTTCTTTGAAAAGAAAGCTTCGCTGGAGAAACACCCCACCCCCCACCCCATGTAATGCTTGAGTGTGGAGACAGGGAGCGTATCGTTTGCTCAGAAGTCGTCCCCCCCTCCCCAAAGCCCATCTGCTCTTGGTCTCTTCACTTCTGTTCTCTCATTCCAGCCTTAGGCCAAGAACCTTCCTTGGCCACCTCTTTGGAAGGGACTCAAGGCACGCCATACAAACCCTTCTCCCCACACCCAAAGAGGCACATGCCTGCCCGACCCACTCTTGAAAAGGTAAGGGCTACTGCCAGGGGAAATTGCTCTATTCCTTCCCAGGGGAACACAGTTTTGATGCCCATGATATTCTAAAACAAGAACAAACCACATTTGAGAAGCTAGCATGCTTTTGTTGGGGAGGAGATGGGTTTGTGACCGCAGATGCAATTTGGTAAAACAAGACGGGGAAAGGGTCAATGAAAAGTCCTCCTGCCCACCCAACTGCTCCCTTCCCGTGTTGTTTTTGCCCACACCCCTTCACCTCTAGATAAGCTGGCAAGAGTTTTCATATTCAAGAGCAATCAGTTCAGAAGAAGGATCTTGCTAAGCATTTAATTGGCCACTAAGTCAATTAACATCATATCAATGTCAGTTTAATGGCATACCTTTGCAAGTGGCACATGAGCCATGTTCCACCAGCACAAGCCAGCTGCATTTAACCTCAGAACTGAAGAGCTGGAAGGAGCCCTGTGGGTCACCTGAGTCCAGCCCCTGTGAAGGAGGCACCATGGGGGAATCAACGCCCAAACTCTGGCTCCACAGCCAGAGGCCTTAACTCACTGAGCTATCTAGCAGTCCTGCCGGAGCCTTTGTTATGGGACCCTTCCTCCTCTCTCCTGCCTCCTAAACATTTGCAATTGCAAACAAGGACCTAATTAACTCTGCTTAAAAAAAAGGTATAACCTTGCTGTGGGAGAACTGGCTTTTAGTCAGTAATGATGGGTAGCCAAGCAGGAAGATAGAGTGGATAGACACAATGAAAGAACTCCCTGAAGAGAAGGGACCGTTTCACTGGAATAACAAGAGAAGGAGGGAAGGCTGAACAGGCACCAGGAAGCCGGAGTCAACAAAGCAGGCACAGACAAAAGCTTCTGAGAGTAGGACCTGCCTGGAGTTTGAGGCCCTCATTAGAAGCCCTGTTATGTGGTGCACAACCCCATAAGGAAATGTCGGTGGGTACATGAGGTGGGTCTTTCTCAGCAGTGCCACACCCCCCATTGTGGAAGTCCCTTCCAAGGGAAACGAGGCTGGTTCTAGTTGTTCCAATGGGCAACTAGAACTGTCCTGCTCCAAACGGCTTTTGGTTTTTAGAATGATTTTTTGAAAAAAAAACTCTTTTGGAAACTGTTTTAAATAATTTTGTTAACGTTTTAAATTTCTTTTCAAATATTCTAACATTGTTTGGAATGGGTTAACCTAGAGTCAATTTTATTGTAAAGTGGCTTGGGAGTCACGATAAGCAAAAATAAAATAAAAAGTCAAGGAACAAATGGTGTAAATAATAAACCAATAAAACAATGCCTCAGATTTCAACGTGGTATAACCATCAGTCTAAGGCTCACATTTCAGGGCAAGCCTGGCACTTAAGGAGAGGGCGGACACAACTGCAAAAAAATACACGTGTAGCCACAGCCACCATTCAGGAGGTCAGCCAGAGTTTCTGAAGGAAAATGGATGGCTCCGGTGTTGCGTGCGGCCTTCAGATCCGAACTGGGCACCCTTCTTAGGAGATCTAGTTCAGGCGAGCAAATTTTAATTGGCTTGAAAGAAATGGCTGGAGGATGCTCAGAGGAAAACACTCGTTTCTGACCTTAGAAGTGGGAAGTCGGGGTGGAGGGAGGATCTTGCCTCGGAAATCAGTGCTGCATCTTACTGTACACTGTTTAGAAAGGACCATCAGAGCACATGGTGCTTTATGAAACAACATGAGCAAGAGATGGTCTTTGCCCTGAGGAGGTTATTAACTAAATTTAGACACAACGTCTGGCCAGGAAGGAAAGCAACAGAAGGAGAAAGAGAAAGGGAGCGTGAAGATTTATAAGGGGCAAATCTAAGCAAATCCAGTTACACTCCCTGAGGCTGCAATCCTATATTCACAAGCTAAAGAGAAATTTCCTTCAAACTCAGCAGTACTTAATGGATTTTGAATGGATCAGTATTGGATTCTAATGTTAGGCTTCATTTCCGTTAGGATTAAGCCAGACATGGACAGCGGTCATCTTCCAGATGTTGCTGGACTGGAATTTCCATTGTCCTTCATCTGGTTATGGGCTAGCAAGAGTTGAAGGCCAACCACATCTGGATGGCCACAGTTACCTATTCTTGGGCTAAGACAGAGGCTTCACCATATCTCTGAAAGAGGAAGAAAAAGGTGGGTGATGCCACCACATAAGATGAAATTCTAGGCACCAAGGGCTTATGGACAGTTTAAAAAGAGAATGAAGCTTCAGGCAGGTCAGGATAGCAAAGCGAGAGAAGGAAACGATAGTTCTGTTCAATTCCCCTCCCTCCCTCCCTGCAATACTGCCCTCCTGGCAACTTATAAAGAAGTTTAAATGAACAACTATGCCAATACTGGAGCGCACAAACTCAAGGTCATGCAATCCATGTTAAGCACAGGGAATCTGGTTGGTTCCAAACCAGAGCAAGACCACTCTGCTTCTTTAAGAAAGCATGCTTGCCATTGTGCTATACAGAGTGGCTCATGGTCCAGATTGTCATTGTTGTTGTTGTTGTCATCATCATCTTAGAACTTAAGGGACCCTATGGGTTGCATGTCAAAAGGCATATGGAATGAAGGAATTTTGTGTGCAAGTAACAGGCCTACACTTAACTCTGCCTTTAACAAGTGGATATGTGATCAGCCAAAATGAGCTGATGCCTCAACATTACTCAGGCAGATGCCCTTCTCATTCCTTCTCCCACATATAGAGAAGAGATGAAGGGATTGAACTGGGGTGTGTGTGTGTAGGGTACCTGCAGAACACATACCTGAACAACTTAGCAGTGGCCTCGTGGAATAAACGATCACTTATTTATTCAGTGGAAGAACCTCCACCAAATAAACAGTTTAAAGCAATCTTTATGAATTCCCTTTTGCTTTTGCCATTGTTCTGTGATTGTAATCCCCCTTTTACAGCTGAAGAGTTTGAAGAGAGGACTCCTTGCTGACAAGCCTTCTCAGGAAGAAAGCTGGGTACTGCCTTGCCCTCGGCCACCTCCCAGTCTCTCTTTACCTTTGATTCCTTGCCTTTGTTCTGCAGCTTCAAGCCTCTAAGAAAGAAAAGAGTTCAACAAGCAGGGAACCACCTGGAAAGCAGCAGCTTCTCAAAGGTAGCCATGTCAACAAGGCCAAGACTTCTGGACACAGAAATAAATATGGGCTCAGTAAGAGAAACAAGGAGGAGATCTGGGAGGTAAAACCCAAGACTAAACCCAAGACTGGGAGGTAAAACCCAAGATTAACCCAAGAACCCAAGAGTAATCAATCCAAGTGCTCTAGGTGGATGGGTCTGATATATTAGCATCTGACACACATGTTCACACCTCACAACACTTACATGATCAAGCCAGACCTTAAGTAGCACCACTGACTCCATTTCTCCCCAATCTGGCACTCACCGATGTTGGACTCTTAATTCTCTTCTTTGGATTGGGACTGATGGGCATTCAATGCCCCTCATTCAACAGCTCTGGAGGGCCCTAATGGGAGAAGGCTGGCCTGTATACATGACAAGCATGGCATGCAAGAGATTGCCCATTGAGACGGAATACCTGCCCAACCTCACATGCACATTACCTTCAGATCATACTTCCTGTGCACGGTAAGCCTGTGGCTGAACATGTTCCTCATGACCAACATGTAGCTCTCTTCATTGTCCACGCTGAGTCGGTACATGCCCAGGAACTGGGGCAAGAGGGTGCTGCCATGGCATTTCACAATGTACTAGAAGAAGATGATGCCAACAAGAGAGTTAGAAAATACCAGTTGCCAACTTCCCAGTTGCCCAAAACAGATGATGGTAACCAAAACAGCTGGGAGAGGACCTGTTAATGGTCATGGGATCATTTTAGAAAACAAGTAAATCAGAGCACAGAACCAAAATCGTCATGTTGGAGTCCAGTTCCACAGGCTCCCCTGACTTTTGATAAATCAACCCATGAGTTGATTCAAATGGTGCTCCCTGAGTTTTGCAAATGGTGCCTTGAGAACTTCAGATGAAATTTTAAAAGACAAGTCATAAAGGCTTTGGGTTATAAGTAACACTCAAAAGTGCATGCACTATGCTTTGTGTAGTGTCTAGATAGGCAGGATAAACATTTTAAATAAATTAATTAATAAACTATGGACATTCAAAGCGAAAAGGCATCATTCAGGGCTTTTACTGGACCCAACTCAACTAACGACACCTCTCTGATAATAACTACTCCATACCAACACTCCCCCCTTTTCAGCTCTCCAGGATCAACTTCCTCTTTGTTCACCTCCACCTTTGCTCTTGATTATTAAATGGGTTATCTTTTCTTTTACAGCTACATTTTGACAGCTGAGCTGAAATGGCACTCTAGGTCTTCCTTCCAAATGGCTCAGAAGGACTAACCCTCCCCCTAGTGGCAGGTAGTGAATCTGCTTCCACACTTAATTCACCACCACCAGTTCAACTTTAGCTTTGCCAGCAGGACTGCCAAGTCTGTTTTTACGGCTGCTTTACAAGGATCCTGTGTGTGCCACTTAGTGTTCTGATCCAAATAACTGCTACTGACACTTATACTTCCAAGAAGTGCCCTTGCTGCTTCATTTTGGAATGCTGTATTGCAACAGGAAATCTGTTTTTCATCCAGCATCAGCTAGGCCAGGGGTCAGGGAACTTTTTTACCTTTTACCCCCCAAAAAATTTATATACGCCGACATTACCCCCTTGATTCAAAAGGAAGGAAATCATACATTATTTGAATTAAAAATATTATTGAATCTACACAGGCTGTGTACCGAACTAGCAGGATGCACCAAATGTGATAAAGATGTGCACTATTTTTGCTGGAACACATTGCACTCCAGCCATGGTGTGGTATAGGGAGTAGTAAGGTGTCCAACGTGCTTAGCAAGTTGCATTACATTTTTGCTAGCTCGCAGAGGATTTAATCATCATCAGTGGCTACCAGAGTTGTGCTAGCAATGACATGCTTGCTAGAGACAGCCAACGCAGAATTAGGGAGGGGGCTTTCCCTACCACTTTAATCATTCTATGTGTGATGTGCAAAAACGAACAAACCAGGCTAAAGGCCATGGCACCCACCCTGGTGCCACAGCCCAAAATCAAAGGACCACTGCGCTAATGAGGGTGAAAGAGGAGAGTGCAAAAAACGGTCTGTAGCTCAACATCAAAAAAACTAAGACCATGGCCACTGGCCCCATCACCTCCTGGCAAATAGAAGGGGCAGATATGGAGACAGTGACAAATTTAACTTTCTTGGGCTCCATGATCACTGCAGAGGGTGACAGCAGCCATGAAATTAAAAGATGCCTGCTTCTTGGGTGTAGCACTCTGCTCATTACCCCCAGGATTTTCACTTTTACCCCATTTGGGGTAATTTACTCCTGTTCCCTGACCTATGAGCTAGGCTGATTATATCGGTCTCAGACCCTGTATATTTCATCTGATGGGTGTTACAATGTGCAAATTGGGTCAACAAATACATTTTACAAAATGTCCCTGATTTTGCTTAACAAACAGCCTGAAGAAATGTCATCCTGAATTCAGAACCTTGTTCTACTTTGTGAAATTTCTGTTTTAATGAAGGGATTATACTACTGTTGCTATCTGATCTTCCCTAATGGACCAACATGACCTGTTTCAAAAGCAGTACCTATAACCAGGTCTGTACACACTTTACCAGTTTATGATCACAGGCCCAAGGGAAAGATTTGGTAGTTTGCAGATAGAACCTGTCTCAGCTTCTGGACAGCTATATAGTGTTGAGGCGCTTTATAAATAACGTTGCTGCTGTTCTTAAGACAGAAAAATGTGGAGCATTCCTTCATTGTCAGCATTTTTTACTTTCAGAACCTTGCTCCTAACGTTGTGAAGAAAAGCTCAAAAAGATTTCGCAGCTTCTGCTCAAATATCAGAAATAGTTGAAGAATTGAGGAGAACTCCCAGTGATTGGGGGTAAAGGGTTTAGTATCCTAAGTCCACCCCTACCCTACCTATGGGTAACCGAAAAAAGCCCTGTAAAACTTGCATACATTCTTAATGTAAGTCTGGCACTTCGTTTTATTTTACGTTATGAACACAGACACTTGGACCCAAAATAGATTTACGTAATAAAGCAAAAGCAAAGTGTGCTGCTTATATACTGCCCAAGAGCACTTAAAGAACTCTCTGGGCAGTTTACAACATAATTATGCAAGCTACACATTTGCACCCCCCCCTGCTCCCCAGTGAGGTGGATACTCAGTTTACTGACCTCGGAAGGATGGAAGGCTGAGTCAATCTCAAGCCAGCTAACCTGATCTGAGGATCGAAACTCAGGTCATAAGCAAAGTCTTCACTGCAGTGCTGCAATTTAACCACTGCGCTACAAGGCTCCTAAGTGTGTCCTGCTCCACTCCACCCAGCAGTCAACTATGTATCAACAAAAGTCTGCACGGGAGGTATGTGGTGAAGGGTCCAGAACAAGATATAAGGGAATGTGGAGGGACAGAGAGCTTCCATAAGCTTCCTTATGTTATCTCAGAAGCCAAATCAGAGCATAAAGCCATCTGGCTGTAGCCCCAACAAAGGAGCTGTGTCTGCCAACTTAACGTACCTGGTGGTAATGGGACAGAAGGCTGTGCATATCAGCCACATCTTCACTGGAGATCTCTTTGATGACCAATGTCCTGTCATAAGATAAGAGGAAGCGTCCCCCACCTTCAGTCTCATAGGTTGGTGGGCTGCGGGTCAGCGAGACCTGGAAAAAGTCAAAGAATGATCCAGTGATGACCAGAGCTGATGATTGTGACAGGTCTGTTTACTCAAAAAGATGGATCCTCTTGTCTAAAAGAGACAAGAGAACTGGGTAACTGAGATGGATTATGGGGCCACAATGAAAAACATTTCCCTGCCTATCACTCAGCAAAAAAGCAACTGAACAAAACGCATTGCTTCAGCTCATGCCCCAACAGGGTCATTTCCCCTTTCACTGGCACCTCTTCAGTAGCCATATACAAGGTGGAAAGTCTCTTCATAAAAGAGCAGGGAACCTTTGGTGTTCTGCTGCGTGCTTTGGCCAACATTTTCTATCAGTCCTGGCCAGAAGGACCAGTTTTAAGGTACTGGAGGAGAAGCAGCCCACATCGTCTGGAGGGCTCAATATTCCCCCGCCCACTTTGCAGAGGCTTGTAGGGTACAAAGACAGGGCAGAAAAAGCTGAGGGACCAGTAGAATGAACACCTTTCCTGCCTCTTACGTGGGAGAACCAGGCTAAGATACCCCCCCCACACACACACACACTGTCCCTAAAGGTGAGAAAACCTGAAGAATAGCAGAACAGAGATCCCATTGGTTGTTGTGGGTTTTTCTGGCTCTTTAGCCATGTTCTGAAGGTTGTTCTTCCCAACATTTCGCCAGTCTCTGTGGCCGGCATCTTCAGAGGACAGCAACCTGTGCTCTGGGGAGAGATCCCATTCATCAAGTCAAGCTTACAGGGTCTGAGGAAGCTGATGAACGGGCCTTTTTCTTTCATTGTTCCCACAGAACATGTTCTTCTTCCTTGCTCTTCCTTTTGGCAAATGTCACAAAAGGTTAGCTACCTCTCAGGTGGGCCTCTTTATGAACGCATGGCTCAAGCTTCAAGGCATACGACTCCCTCCCTTCTTGCCATCTAAATCCAAGGAAGCCGTTTCAGTTCTAGATCAGTATCTGGTGTCATTGATGGACTAGATGAGGGTGAATAAATTGAAACTTAATCCAGACAAGACAGAGGTGTTCCTCCTCAGTTGAAAGGCAGATCAAGGAAGAGAGTTGCAGCCTGTGCTGAATCAGATTACACTCCTTCTGAAAACACAGGTCCACAGTTTGGGTCTGCTCTGGATTAGTCTCTGAGCCAAAATGCTGCAGGATGATTGTTAACTGGGGCTGGTTACAAGATCCCATAACCCAGTGGTGTCGAACTGTGGCCCTCCAGATGTTCTTGGCCTTCAGCTCCCAGAAATCCTGGCCAGCAGAGGTGGTGGTGAAGGCTTCTGGGAGTTGAAGTCCAAGAACATCTGGAGGGCCACAGTTCGACACCACTGCCATAACCCTTCCTGCCTCTCCCCCCCCCCTACTATTTTAGCAGCTTCACTGGCTGTCTATCTGGTTCTGGATGCAAATTCAAAGTCTCTGTCATTGCTCCGAGACTCTAGGACACCCTCCCACAAGAGGCCAGGCTGCGCCCATCTCTGCTGTTCTTCAACAAACAGACAAAGGTCTTTCTCTTCAGGCAGACTTTCCCTTAGAGACTGTCTAGGAGACAATAAACAGGATGGCTTATATTTGTTTGGTTGCTTCTAAATCTGTTTTTAGCAATGCCTTTACTTTACATTTTAAATGTGTTATCAATTCTTCTTAAATATTTGAATAATTTACTGTTTTTAGCTTTTAACATTGTGTTTTTAATTACGGAAGGCACCTTGGGTCCAGAGGTTAGGAGGCTTGACTAAGGCTAACTAGTGAATAGTTCAAAGCATACCAAAATTTGAATGCAAAGTCTTCTAGCCTCTATACTCACAACAATTCTTGCTGTGAATACCTACACAGCTAAGCACCACAGCAGCTATCCGGAGCAGTTATGATTCATGTGGGCACAGAGGCAAGTATCGCCAAGAGATTCAGTGCTAATACATCACCAGCGCTAATAACCCACTGGCCTTTTCCCACTTCAGAAAACAATTTCTCTCAAGGGAACAAATCTGAAACCAGGACTTCCAATGAAAGACAGGCAATCTTGTACACTAATTTTAATTGTATGTCTACAGGAATAATTTATAACTCCAGCAATTGACCCCAGGGGAAGTACATACTGTGCTGTACTAGCTGAATTTCAATCCCGCTTGCTAACCAATGTTCTCAAAGCACCATAAAAACAAACTGAAGTCAGTTGTGTTCTTTACTTGAAGTTTGCCAATGCACAGTATGAACAAGAAGAGCTTGGAACTGATCTAGAACAAGAAGCAAATGTACTTTCGTAGTGATGGCGAACCTATGGCACACATGCCACAGCTGGCATGCAGAGCCCTCTCTGGGGCACGTGAGCCGTAAGTCACCATCGCCATTGGAGGACCAGTAAGTATTTCTCTGTTAATATCACCCCTAGGAAAAAAAAGAGAAGCATTTAACCCTCACACATTACAGGGGCAGTTGCTTTTTCTAAACTAAAACCTCAGTATTCAGGTTTAATTGCAGTGTTGGCACTTTGAAATAAATAAGTTGGTTTTGTGTTGCAGTTTGGGCACTCAGGCTCAAAAAGCCTTGCCATCATTGTTTTAGGGTAACAAAAGGGCTGCTTTTTAAAAAATGTAATAGCCACCAACACTTGATTCATAAAAGTAAGATAAACCTTACACATATATGATGTGTTGATAATGTTTTTGGAGTTATGAGCTGTCATGTCACTTCTTACTTAACGCCGATCCTGTGAATTATCACCCTCCAAAAGGTCCCATCCCTAACAGCTCTGCTTAGGTCTGGCAAACTAAAGGACTTGGCTTCCTTTACTGAATCAATTCCTCTCATTGTCAGTTCCTTCAGTATTTCTTGAAATTTTGTTTTCTGATTATCTTCTTATAGTGCAAATGCCTTAGTTCAGTTTGGCTTCTAGGGCAAGTTCAGGCTTCGTTTGACCTATAATCTATTTATTTGTCTTTCTGGCGGTCCATGGTATTCGCAGTTCTTCCCCAGAACCATATTTTAAACAAGTCCATTCTCCCCTCTGTCATCTTTCTTAGTAAGCGTTTCAGAACCATATTTTAAAGAAGTCCATTCTCCCCTCTGTCATCTTTCTTCACTGTTCAGCTTTTGCATCTGTATATAATAATACCATAGTATGGAAGATCTTGGTCTTTGTCTTTGTCTACAGATCCTTAAGCATCAGGATGTTTTCTAGTTCTTTCAAAGCTGCCCTTTTGAGTCTCACTCTTCTATTTTCTTGGCTGGAGTCTGTTTGGTTTCTTGGATCTAATGGAAGAGACCTCTTGTTTGTCTTCTCTTTTATCCTCTTTTATTTCTTTGTACAGTATATCCTATTATATTTCCCTGCAAAGTTTTTTTAAAAAAATCAGTTCTCTTTGTCCAAACATGCAAGTTGCTCTACAGTTGCATTTAGGATTCCGAACCTATTTTTGTCATCTCCTACTCTTGTTTCTCACCTGCTATTTACCATTTTAAAGCACTTCATGACTTATCCATTAAAGCTTTTCTTTTGGCTAAAGGAATAGTATTTTGCATTCTTCCCTGGTGAAATTACTGGCTTCAGTCCACAGCACTTCTGGTGTGCTATTGGTTGAGTTTAGTAATTCATATCTATGCTTTACCTGATTTTTAAATTCCTCAGGAATTTCTTATGTTATTTAAATTATAATTTGTTACCAGGATTGTTTTACTGTGCTTCTTCGCCTTTACTCTAATGTTTTATAGAGTTCTGCACCACAGGCTTAAACTCTGGATCTCCCCTACCCCCAGAGAGAATATTTTCTCCATCTTCTGTTTCCAATTATATAGCCTATTTGATTTTTCTAGGGGTCATGTGGTGATGCATACATGTACAATCACAGGTTGCTTGAAGCATGTATTTGTAATAAGTAAGATTGCTGACTAGACAGAATTTTGTAAGTTGATCTGCTTTATTTCTAACACCTAGTTTGAATCCTTCAAAGGTGTTTTGCTCTATTTCATTTCCCACTCCTTTGTTCCAGCTGCCTATCGGCATGTCCTGCCCTGTTGTGTGATCAATTTCCTCCTGGACACATACATAAAAGCTTCCTATTTTTTCTTCTTCCACATTTGTAGTTTAAGCATAGATTCGAACTATGGTTATGCTGATAGGCTTTCCATGAAGTCTGATACTGAAGGATAAAAACTTGGTTTATACCTCATACCTGATTTTATTCCACCACACTTCACTATTATAGCCACATTGTTTATTCTGAGTTGATCCTCTTGTGTAGTAAAACACATTTTAATTATCTGACTGAAAATGTTCTGCTCCCGTCCACCTGAGTTAACTCACACTTGGTATTGTGATGTTGACATGTTCCATTTATTTTTCAAAATTTCAGGATTGCCCTGATTTATACTTCTAACATTCCAAGTTCTGTTTATATGCATCACATAACTTCAGATTCTCCTTCTGCATTGGTACACACCAACAATTTAACATCCTTTCTGCTTTATTGCATGTGCTTCATTTAGAATAGCATTTCTCACACTTGTCCATAGCTCTTCCCCAGCAGCTGATCTGAGTGCTTTTCAACCTGGGCATCTCATTTTCCAGCAGTATCTTGTTTAATTTTTTCAACACCTTTATCGTAGGGTTTTGACATATAAAGCATCCAGAAGTCATTTACCATTGGCTCCTTCCATGCAGTAGTAACAAGAGTTAGCTTCGATGTTATGAATTATTCTCTGCCAGTATCACCTCTGCTACTGCTGCTGCCTGGCAGCTGCTCTTTTAGAATATCTGTACTCCCATCACCACTAGAACTCCCAATTCTCTTTTGATGATACAACCATTAGTTTCTGAAGAAAACTGAAGCATCGTAGTCTTAGTTTCAGCTTTGACTATTCTGCCTTGCATGACCCTAGTATGAGTCCAGATTAGTAATGGAGTCCAGCCTACTGATACCACTGCTCTCAGTTTCTCTGACATATTCAAACCCAATCACCGCATTAAGACATGCATCCAAGAAGAGGACTATTGCTTTCTTCTTTAAATAATGAGCAATAATATCAAGATACAGTGGACCCTCTACTTACGGAATTAATCCGTATTAGAATGGTGGCTGCAAGTCGAAAAGTCTGTAGGTTGAATCTCCATTGACTTACAATGCATTGAAAACTGATTAATCCCATAACTGGCAGTTTTTATTCTATTTTTGTTCCATTTTGGGTTTTTTCTGGTCTGTAAGTCGATTCTCCGGCTGCAAGTCGAATCTAAATTTTGCGGCCAGAGAAGTCTGTAACTCGAAAAGTCTGTAAGTCGAGCCATCTGTAATTCGAGGGTCCACTGTAGCAAATAACAACAACACCGATTGAGTAAGAAGTGATTTTATTTAAAAAGTAACACTCAAAGCTATGTACAAAAATAAAAAAAATACCATCTCACAGATACAAGCAAACACAGCAACCATAAAGAAATATCTGCTTACTGGTTTTCTTCTTCTGCAGCAAAGGCTTTTGGAAAGAAAAGGGCCATCCAAAACGAAGGAGAAACTGATATGATGTGTATTTCAGGAAGGAACTTACACAGAGAACAGGTCAGTACAGAAAACGCCCCCAACCTTGTGTTTTATCCTCTGAACATCTGTATTCACCAGGATGCATGACCAGTAAATTGGGATTGGGGTGGATAAACCAAGGAGAAGGGCTCTAGTGCTAGAAATCAGAAAATGCCAAGGTCTGTTGGGGACCTAAAATTAGACAAAGACTCATCTGAAAAGAAAAGGGAGGGCTACTCACCAAATAATCCTGGTCATCTATGCTGAAGCGTTCACGGAGATTGCGGAAGACCTGTGGGCAGTACTCCTTAAATTTGAAATGGCCAGGAAGGTTCTCTCTGCAAGACAAACCTAACAGATTAGCAAAGATTCAATCTCAGTCACTGGCATACTAGTTTGTCTTTGCTGAGAAGGCGTTTTGTTTTAAATAGAAGTCATCAACAAAAGCTCCCCATTATAACTCACAAAAATTAGTGCAAAGCCTCTTTTATTTTTCTTGTAAGAAAATATGTATTTTTTGGACAAGTGAGCAAGGCTCTAGCACGTAATAGCGATCAAATCAATCTGGGCATTATCTCATTAATCTGTGGCCCATGCTCCATAATCTCCTCACCATTAGCCTCCTCTACCATATGGGGTAATCCTCCCTCATGATGTGAACGGTTTATAGTACCAGCCTGGCAGATTACTTTAACATTAAGCAGTAGAAATTGGGTTGAAGAGAGGATAGAGGGAAAATCACCTACTATAGCATGTGTTATACAGATCTTAGTACCATTATTCAGAGATTGGCAAAAGCACTTCTGCAGATTATAATTTCCATAACTCTCCAGCCACCATGGTTTATCAGCCCTGCTGGCTGAGGGCTTATGTGAGTTACAATCCAAAAAAGTAACTTTTCCAGGTTCTACAGTTACAATGCTCATGGAAGGAGACGTCACACAGTCCCTTTTTAAACTTGCACGGTTCTGTGTAATCCCCTCCCCACCATTTGTAGACCAGGAGTGGACAAAGTGCTGCATTTTTGCCCATGCAGTAGGATTGCCACTTCCCCCTATCCTAGAGACACCGTCTCCCTTACCATTCCCATTTTTTGACCCAGCTTCTATTTTGAAGTTCTGGCAATGAGAAGAAAAACAGTTTTTCTGAACATGCATATAGTTAAAATGAAATTCATCACATATTTGTGCACCGTTTAAGACAGGGGTCTCAAACATGCGGCCTGGGGGCCAGATGATAGTTTGTGGCCCTCACCTTGCCTGCCCCCCCAAAGTGCCCACACATCCTCTGCTGTCAAGAGTAAAAAAAAAGCCTTGCCTCGCTCGCCAGCTCTCTCCCAAGACAGCACCTCTTGCACCCTCCATCCAGAACTGCAGCCTGCCACCGCACTAGCCTTCTCCAGCTTGCAATGAGGCTTCACACAAAACCAAAGGAAAACGAAGGCCAGCACCACAAAATAAAACTGCAAACAGACTGCCTAGGAAGTCCGAGCAACAAAAGACTACACCACTACGAAAGACCATATATAATGTATACATTATTTCATATGGTTTGTGTGTTTGCTTATATTATTTTTATGTTATCTATCTCCCCATAGGGAACCCAAGGCAGTGCACAACAATTAAAATCATACGATAATAAGAAATTTAAAATACCATACAAGACTATGTAATGAAAAAAAAATCACTGATCAAGATTTAAAACAAATTTTAAAACATTTTTAAAAACATTTCAAGATATCTAAATTTTGAAAATGGAGTGTTCCCTAACCCCCCACCTATTGCCTAAAAACTTGCCTTTAAAAAAGGTCTATGGTTAAAGCAAAATGTGCTGCTGTCAACAGTCCAGTCCTTGGGCTAAATCCAGCGGTTCATCCCAGCTAAAATAGAATCATTAAATCAAGAGCTCAATGGTGAGTCAACACATAGGTAAGCTCTCTTTATTCAGTGGGTCTACTCTAGTCATCTCTATCAACTGGATTCAGACACCCCGAGATCAGAGGTAAGGTCACAATAAAATATGCTACCCCTAGAAACAAAGGGAAGGGGATGTCTTCCCTACTGCATGGACAAAGGTCAACTGAGCTGACACGTGAGTTGCACATAACCCCTGGAGACAGAACAGCACTCTTAATTGCACTTCAGCACATTAGGCTAAATGAGGGAATACAAGGCAGGTCATGTAGCCCACATGCATCTGACGTCTAACATCACATCTACTGTAGAGCAGACTCTGAGCAGAGAAAAGATCACTGCAGCATATGCAAGGATTCTCACAGTGGCCCCACTGAGCACTCTGTCCTCAGTCTACACAGCAAGAATGGAGAACAGCATGAAGGTTGGGGTTACAGGCTCACTCTGTTTTTCTTTTAATTCATTGTCTGTAATTTAGCAAATAATTACCCACCAAGTACACAAATTTCTCTGGGACCATAAAACAAGTCTGCAATTAAGAACAGTTGTCTAATTTCCATTGAGATGTTCCAGTGAGAGTCTGGAGTTAAAGTATAGTAAGCAGATGAAATAGCTTGTCTACATACAATCTCTAAAAAGTCATGACGTGCTGGTGGTAGGATTTTATGTCTCTCTTATTACTGTAGGTGATAAGGTGGCATTAGTTTTTAATGATGTCTATTGAGCTATCATGAAAAATGAACTTGTCTTGTTAATTGTTGTTCATTCTTTTTTTTCAGCTCGCCCTATTTTCATTCAGTGGTCATACCAAAGCATCAAGAGCATGATCACTGTCTTCCAGAAGTCTTTGGTTATGACCTGTCTAGCAGTCTAGTAATAGATACCAGTAGCAAACTTCTATCATATTTTTGTATCTGGCATTATGAAGAGAGCTGAAGTAGTGTTGTATTTTATTTTTTATTATTTCGGCCCATCAGAAATCACTTGTTTTTGGAGTCAGTGGGTCTGTTTAAATCTCTTTACCTTCCTTTTTTTATGATCCATGGTTTAATTTGGGTCTGTCCTGCAAAACTTAAAAAACTAATTTCTCATTCCCCTAAACCAATAAACAAGCAGTGGAACAAAAATGCATTGGAAAGGAGCAATCGATAGGACAACATAGTGCTGAAAAACTTATTAAGATAGTTGTCCCCAACTTTGTGCCATTTAGGCAAGTCAGATTAGAATTCCCATAATCCCCAGCCAGCATGTGTACTCTAAATGATGGGAATTCTAATGCCACAGCCCAAGGACAGCTACCCTATGGTATATGCACTATGTGTTCTGTACCATCAAATTGGAAACAACTTACAGCCATCTCCAAAAGTATTGGCACCCTTGCAATTCTGTCAGAAAATGCAACCCTTCTCTCAGAAAATTCTTGCAGTTGCAAATGTTTTTGTACTCACATGTTCATTTCTTTGGTTTGTGTTGGAACAGCACAAAAAAACTGAGAAAAAAAGTCAAATATGATACAATCCCACATAGAAACCCAAAAATGCACTGGACAAAATTATTGGCACCCTGTCAAAATTGTAAGAAATAATTGCTTTTCAAGCATGTGATGCTCCTATAATTTGTATTTAGACCCACCTGTCACAAGTAAGAGGTGTGGGCAATATAGTAATCACACTTGCAACCAGTTAAAATGGAGAAAAGTTGCCTCAACCTTTGTGTTGTGTGTGACACTGAGCATGGAGAAAAGAATGAAGTATAAAGAGTTGTCTGTGGATTTGAGAGAAAAAATTATGGAAAAACATCAACAATCTCAAGGCTACAAGTCCATCTCCAGAGATCTTAATGTTCTGTGTGCAATATCATCAAGAGCTTAACAGCCCATGGCACTGTAGCTAACCCCCCTGGACGTGGACAGAAGAGCAAAATTACTGAAAAATTACAACTAAGGGTTTGCACTATCCGTCGCCATCTGAATTACAAATTCAAGCTGATATGCAGACAGAGGGTACAACAGTGTCAGCTTGCACTATCCGTCGCCATCTGAATTAAAAATGACATTATGGAAGGAGACCTGGGAGGACACCACTGCTGACACAAAGGCATAAAAAAGCAAGACTGGAGTATGCCAAAACTTCTGTGACAAAACCACAATCGTTCTGGGAGAACGTACTGTGGAGAGATGAGACAAAAGTAGACCTTTTTGGTCAAGGACATCATGACAGGGTTTACAGAAAAAGAAATGAGGCATTCAAAGAAAAGAATACAGTCCCTACAGTCAAACACGGTGGAGGTTCAAAGATGTTTTGGGGTTGCTTTGCTGCTTCTGGCACTGGATGCCTTGACTGTGTGAACGGTATCATGAAATCTGATGATTACCAAAGAATGTTGGGGCGTAATATAGTGGCCAGTGTCAGAAATCTGCGTCTCCACCAGAAGTCATGGGTCTTCCAGCAGGACAGTGTCCCAAAACACACTTCAAAAAGCACTCAGAAATGGTTACAAACAAAGCGTTGGAGAGTTCTGAAAGGGCCAGCAATGAATCCAGACCTGAATCCCATAAAACACCTGTGGAGAGATCTTGAAACAGCAGTTGGGAGAAGGCATCCTTCAAATTGAAGGCCCTGGAGCAGTTTGCAAAAAAAGAGTGGTCCAAAATTCCAGTAGAGATGTGTAAGAAACTCATTCATGGTTACAGGAAGCGATTGATTTCAGTCATTTTTTTTCCAAAGAGGGTGCTACCAAATATTAAGTTAAGGGTGCTAATAATTTTGGGCAGTGCATTTTTGGGTTTCTGTGTGGAATTGTATCTGATTTGACTTCTCTGTTCTTTTGTGTTGTTCCAACACAAACCAAAGAAATTAACACGTGAGTACCAAAACATTTGCAACTGCAAAACTTTTCTGAGAGAAGGGTTGCATTTTCTGACAGAATTGCAAGGGTGCCAATATTTTTGGCCATGGCCGTATAGCGACCCTAATAGGGCTTTCAAGGTAAGTGAGAAATTTAAGGAATGGTTTTACCCATTTTACTCCCCCAGTGAGTTTCCATGGCAGAACGGGGATTTGAAACCCTGTTCTCCAGAGTTCTAGTCCATCACTCTATCCACTACACCACACTGGGAATCCAAAGTATATGCATTAGGAGATGTTCTGTCCATGTGGCCCATTCAGGCATACACATTGCATGACCAAACATGCCAGCTCTAGTCCTCAGCATCTCCCATTAATACTTCTCAAGCCAAAAGGAACAAAGTGAAGTGTGCCTGAGATACCAGGGGGCGGGGGGCAGGAGGGGAATCAGGACAACATTTCAGCTAAGAAAACCAGACATCTTGTTATGACATGTTCTTACCCTCACCTGTTGAAGAGATGATTATTCACTTTTATTTTGGAATTTGCTTTGAAGTCATCAGGAAGTAACATCACTGGCTGGGGAACTTGGCTCAGCTCACTGATCTGTGTCGAAAAACAAAAGGTAAGGAGTTGACTGTCCATCATGGCGCCACCAGTCAATTCCACCATCATAATCCGACCCCCCAAGAGCCCCAGCCCTGTAGTCCAGACAAGGATTTAGGATGCATGTCTATGGAGTAGTCCAGAACTTCAGCCGAGAGAGGGGACAATAGATAAAGATATGCCACATTTTCTCCAAGCTGAGACTTGAGCTAGGCAGGACATTATTAGAAGCAATATCCGACTCCTGTCCTCTGAAGATGCCGGCCACAGAGACTGGCGAAATGTTAGGAAGAACAACCTTCAGAACACGGCCGAAGAGCCCGAAAAATCTACAGCCATAGGATCCCGGCTGTGAAAGCCTTCAAGAATACATAGAAGAAATATCCTTAGGTACTTTGGACTATGTCAGCAGGGAAGTGGGACAGAAATAACAACAAATAATATCATCCTCTAACAGATCCCCACTCTCAGTTTCAAAGCCATTTCAGAGCACTTTATGAAAATGCATCCACAAATCCTTACTGGAAAAGGCCTCCAAAAAGCTTGATTCATTGCCAAAATTAATACATAGCCAAGTACGGCAGTTCAGACAGGATTAGTCCCTGAAAGGTTACGTTAGAGGCACACAGCAAGCACTCACAGAAAAGACAGCGGGCTTCAAATGTAGACAACCAATGTGGAAGAAGCCACAGCTTTAACAGTTCTGAGGGGGGAAAAGTTACTTTCATTCAGACCAGCCATGCATCAGGCCCTCAAATATTTTAGTTCATAAAGGGGACTCCCCTCAGATGTACCAGCTAAAAATGGCAGACAGACTGGGACAGACAAGGAGAAGGACTTCACAAAGAGAGACTCCAGAATTTGACAGAAGATAGCTAGTAAAGGATGGGTTGGTTGAAGAGAGATGGCACAAGGCAGGGAAGACATATAGAAAACTGGGACAACTGATGAGAGGAAACATCACTCCCCCCCCCCAATGCTAGAACACTGGGTTAGACTGCATTCACTTCCCACTAAAATCAATGATCAGAACGAACTAAATCTTTCTCTTGACATCTAACTTTGTACCTGTAGGGAATGAACAACTGGCTGTCAGGGATAGTATTTCTTCACACAACAAATAACTGACTGATGGCATTCCTTGCCACAGAACATTGTGAGGGACATCAGCATAGGTGGAAGCTAGGCCTGTCAATGGCTACTAGGCACAATAGCTATGAATGAGAACACAATGCAGTTAGGGAAAATATATCTCTATATTGTGGGTCAAGCCCACAATAACTGCATGCCTAAGGGGAAAGAGAAGATTCCTATACAGTACTTCAGTTTAACCTTTCTTCAGAATTGGCCATGGAAAATCCTCAAACAGGAAGACATCACACTCCTTTTCTAACCCATATTGCTATTAATGATAATTTTAAAAAGGAACCTACATGTGGGTTATTATTGCTACCTCATAAAGTACACACAGCACACTTGTAACATAATCTCTGGCACTTGACAGTTGTTTACCAGGTGGGATCCATGTTTCCTTTTCTTCCCAAGCAATGTTTATTAAGTAGGAAGAGTATGACATATAATAAATGGCTTCATGGAGGAACAATACAACCAAGCTTGGGAACATCTCTCAGACAAATTACACAGTGAGACAAGGACACCCATCCAAAATCACTTCTCTACTTTTTATCTCTTAAATCCTTTTGGTCAATCAGACTTGGGGTGTTCAGAAGGCAGACTGGCCCTCAAAGCTATAAGAAGCACACTAAGAAATGCAAATTCTGGACTTGAACAACCCAGAATTATAAACCAGACAAGTTTAATACTGCAGTTTATGGATTTATGCCATTCATTCATGCAAGTGTAAATTGCTAGTTGGATTTTAGGCATTACTTGCATAATTTCAAGCGTATTTTTGCAAACCTCACAGCTAGAAACTTGCCTTTAAAAGATAAAAGTATATTCACCCATTGGCTTTTCAGAAAGCTGAACTCTATACTCAGGATCACATTCTGTAGGTTTTTCTGTACCAAAAAATTAAAAATAAAACGAAATTTTAAAAACCCAAACAAACAAACAAAAAACCAAAGCACATGCACCGGCCAGCTCATCAGCAAGGCTAGATGTGAATTTATATTCTATCTTAAGCATGTTGGTGCAGGGAGAGTGGTAGATATTTTACAGTGGTACCTCGCTAGACACCGACCTCGCAAAATGATGAATCCACATGACGATGAGGTTTTGCAATCACTATAGTGATTCGCAAAACAGTGATTTCAATGGACATTTTCGCTGGACGATGATTTGGTCCGTGCTTCACAGACCGTTTTTTCACAAAACGACGATATTTGCAGCTGATCATCGGCTTCGCAAAATGGCTTCCCTATGTTTTCGGGACCCATGCTTCGCAGGACAGCCATTTTAACAGCTGATCGGCGCTTCGAAAAATGGCTGCCCTATGGGCGATCTTCCAAAACAACAACGATTTTCCCCCATTGGAACGCATTAAACGGGTTTCAATGCATTCCAATGGGGAAACGGTTTTCGCAAGATAAGTGGGATGGATTATCGTGGGATTTCGCGATTTCAGTGGGATGGATTATCGTTGTCATGCGGGGCACCACTGTATATCCATTAATGCTGAATATGGCATGACTTTATGCCAACCTCCCTTAAGCTGGTGCCCTCAAGATGTGTTGATCTACGACTTCCACCATTCCTGGCCAGCACAGCGGGCCAAGGACCATGCTTGTGGGGGATAGTGGAAGCTATAGTCCAATACACATGGAGGGTCACTTTGAGATAGCAGGTTGTCTTATGTTCTTATTTGCAAACACAATGCATTGCTCTATTCTCTTCCAACCAGGTCTAGCCTTCTGTTATTTCTGGCAGGGATGTTGGCAAATCCTTAGGTCCAAGTCCCGAGTCTGAGTCTTGGTACCAAATCCCAAGTCAAAGTCTTTAGTTCCAAGTCCCAAGTAAAAATAAGCTTTTTCTCTAGAAAAAAAGGGAAGGAGGAGTGGGTTCTGAGTCATAAGTCAAGTCAAAGTCATTGGAAAAAAAAAAACCAAGCCAAGTCCCCAATATAAGGTAAGTCTGACTTGACAGTGAGTCTTGAGACGGGAAAAAAAACAAGCCAAGTCCCCAGTATAAGTTAAGTCTGACTTGACAGTGAGTCTTGAGACTTGAGTCCTCATCCCTGCCTTCTGGATCAGAAGATTTTGTGGCCATGTACAGCACAGTTGCCATGAAATTTCCTAATCCATCTAGCACAGGGTGACAGACCTACTTAACTTCAAACCACAATGCCACATGATGTACCTGAAAGCCAACAAGCCAAGTCCCCAGTATAAGTTAAGTCTGACTTGACAGTGAGTCTTGAGACTTGAGTCCTCATCCCTGCCTTCTGGATCAGAAGATTTTGTGGCCATGTACAGCACAGTTGCCATGAAATTTCCTAATCCATCTAGCACAGGGTGACAGACCTACTTAACTTCAAACCACAATGCCACATGATGTACCTGAAAGCCATTTTCTGAGAAGAAAAGCTACTCCAGCTTGCGTCAACCAACCAGAGGACCAGGAGCAATTAGTAGCTTTTACACAGATGCCTTGAAAAGATCACTATTACAGACTGAGTCTAAAAGGATGGCCCATCTATAGCACCTCCTTTGGAGTGAAAAAAAAATCCGCAAGATCTGTTCCACTGCAGAGAGAACAGCTCACAAAAGCTAAACTGCCAAGTAGATAATTTGCACAGAGTTTAGGCTGAAAGCCTGTCGGGCTAGGACTCTAATGATCACAAGCTTTCAGAGGCAGGATTTTTGGTGTGGTAGACACAGAAACTGACTATAAAGAAACAGAGTACATTCTTAGGTACTATTATAATAAACTCAAACTTTCCATTTACATGCTTGCAAACATCTCAAAGATTTGCCTCCCACTGTCAGGTAACAGTCTGACATAAAAAAAATCAGGCAATTTACTTACTGCTAATCACAATTGCATTTTATGCTGTTAGGTTACAAGGAAAGGGAAGAGCAATTACATGCAGATAAAAACAAAAACAGGTCTAATTGCTGGAGCGGGGTGGGTGGTGGTGGTAATACCGTATCTTGTTTCCCTTGAACTTGGTTTAATATCCTGAAAAGTAGAGACAAATACTATTTCCTTTTTCGTAACATGCTTTCAGGTATGGGGAAGAAGCAGGCTGAACAGGAGACAATGTTCTAAAGGAAACAAAGCAGCCTTCCACAAGCTGGTAGGATTCATTTTCAACCTAGTCACCGGGTTGACAGGAAGTATTAGTACAATACCACTGGTGAGCACCAGCTTGATGGTTGGAATACAGAGTCAGATTTAGATTCATATTTTGTACAGCCAATTAGCTCATTAATTACTTTGTATCAGTACTGTAGTTTGACCAACCTAACTGTACAGAGCTGGCTAGATAGCTCAATGAATTAGGTCTGGAATTCAATTCCTCACTGTGAGCCTCAGAAGAGCCAATCTATGTAGACTTGGGCAAGCTGAACAGTCCCAGAGAGCCCCTAGAAGAAGGGAATCAAACAAATTCTTAGTACTCTATACTTAGAAAACCCTGGACAGGGTTGCTGTAAGTTAGAACTGATTTGATGGCATGCAATTATTATTGCTTTATAGAAGCACACTCCATTCTATGAATAATGCACACAGAAAGATGAGCAGCACAGAATACAGTAGTGCTCCGCATAACGATGATAATCCGTTCAGAAAAAATCGTCGCTATGTGGATTCGTCGCTATGTGGGGGGGGACCCCATAAGAACGCATTAAAACACATTTAATGTATTCTTATGGGCACAAAACTCACCGCTATGCGGAAATCCTCCATGTGGCCGCCATTTTCGCTGCCCAGTAAGCGAGAAATCCGGGCAGAAACACAGCAGGCAGCCATTTTCTTTACCCGGCGGCCATTTTGGAACTGCCGATCAGCTGTTAAAAAAACATCCCTATGCGAAAATT